ATTAACACCCCTGGACATCCTAACACAATTGAATACAGATCTTATTCGTTTTTTTGAGAGATTTGAGAGCACTTTTGTGGTTGTTCTTGCAAAACACCCACAAAAGCCTTTTGTTCATCTTCTTCTTGCAATTTCTTGTGTTTGTGTTCTTAGTAGAGCAAACTAAGATCACTTCTCTCTTCATTGTATCTCAAAGACGTATTCCGGAAAGTCCTTTGCTCGTATAGGACGGAATAACGTTTTTAGTAAAGTGTATCACGCCTTGAAGAGTTATCCGGTTCCTATTTACTTTTCTGTTATTGTTCTTCTTTTTATATCCCAGATTCCTAACAAATGTTGTATGACCTCTATACAGTCATTGCCCACAATCTCCTATGCATGGCGAAAAAACTTAGATGTAAATCTGTCTGGTCTCGGGGTCTTGTTGTCTTTAAGCCTAAAGAAGGTGTCTTTTATCCTTTCGATCGTGGCACGCTTGCTTATCTTGACTTAGTGATGGGCAAAATGCGAAACTGGAGGGTCTACCTAATGGTAGTCCTATGAATAGTTGCAGAGGAGGGTGAGGTGGGGTTAGTAGTGTTTTGAAATGCTCAATCCTCATATGGATGATGCGATCAAGTGACTCAATATGCTGTCCAATAGAATCTAGGATATATTTTATCGCATTTTTTAGTTTTTATTTTTTTAAAAAATAAAAGTAATCAAATTTTAGTTTGTAAAAAAAACTAATGTAATGATTTAAACTTTTATTATCGCAAAGAACTTTATTGTTTGTCTCAATTTTATTCATCCTGTTTTTATCCTGAGATTAACATACTCTCCGTCCTTATGAAAGATTGAATCGGGATATTTAAAATACGAGTTTTGAGGTGTTAATCCTCCTTACAACGTAATTTCTACACCTCTAACAAGTGTGTTACGAAAATCATAATGCATATACTCGGTTTTCATTCTACTAACTCTAAAAACTCTTTTCTTCTAATATACCCTTTCATAAGTCCAATTTTCCGTTTACTTCTTCCCTAGTCTAATCTATTAGCAAGATATCATATGCAAATATCATGCATCACAATACTTTTTTTTTTGTATATCCCTAATCAACTCATCAATGACTAATGTGAAGAGGTACATACTTAAAATGGACCCTTAGTGTAACCTATTGAGATAGAAAAATCTCTCATGTCAATACTTATATTTCACTGATATCCCTCTACACCCTAACTCCCACCATAAAACCTTTTTTGGTACTTGATCATAAATTTTTTTAGATCGATAAATATCATATACCCAAACTTTTTTTATATCTCCAAACTTCTTTATTAAATTACAAATGGAAAAAATTATTTCTATGATAGACTTTCGGGACATACAATCAAATTGATTTACGAAAACGGATGTCTCACTACGTAAACGATACTCCACAATCTTTTCCCACAAAAATAACTCATTAGTTTAATCCCTTTAAATCTACGTAACTTTGGATTTAGTCTGCATTCATATCATATCTTCGACACTAGAATTTGTTTATTTTATTAAACAATCAAACAAACTAAATTACTTTCACACTTCGATAGAAATAACATGAACTGGATACCACACACTAACTATTTTCATCTTTCTTAGCGAATCTTTCAGGTCTGCGCATTTCATTCACTACTATAACTCATATTAATATGACAATATAAACATATACTAATTGGAGAGAGCCCTCGAAATTCCGGAGGTTGCACTTGTACATGAAATCCATCTTATATATATATGAAACATACAAATACAATCAAGTTATTCATTTATAAATTATTATATATTATATAGTCTTATTTTAGCCGGTTATTTTCAATACTTTGGGTGGTCCATAGTAAAATTACTCAGCTGGATCCATAGGCAAGTAACTCCCACCTGAAGGGCTGGAACACGTAAAGCACCTCCGGGCAACTCTTGAACAGAAGGGCCACGCAGACACAGACCGCAGCTATGGCCACCATTGACAGCATCGCCGGTCTGTAGGCCACAGACCTGACTGCCGGTCCAAACCCATATGCCATTTTCTGGTCGCATAGCTTGCAGTGCGAAGACTTGGCCTGGTTGGCCAGAGTGATCTCCAAGCCGGAGGGTCTCAGCCCGGTTTTCTGCTTCTGGTGACTTTTCTCCATGGCAGTATCAGGGAAAGAAAGAGGGATATCGACCACTACTGCGTGCTCTTCAGTGGTGGATTTCTTCTTGAGCTTGCGTTGGATGAGATGGATGTAGGAGAAATGGCCGCGAAGGCGGGCATAGTCTTCGGGTGTGAAGCCCGTGCTGTCCCGGGAATTCTTCCAGGCTTCGAGTCCAACCTGCATCAGATGTGAGGAGTTCTTGTTTAGAGAATTTGATACAGTAACTCGCGAGGTCAGGTTAGGGTACCGATATGTTTCTCAAATCTTGAGGGAATGGGTGAAGAAGAGAGGAAAAATTCAATCACCATTCCAGGATCTTCAGTCAGGGCGTCCAACACATCTTCTGAGCCGTCTTTACCGGCTGCGATGTGAAGAGGTGTCAAACCAGCAGGGCCGGTGGCATCGGGTCTGAACATTCTGATCTCGTTGCCCAATAATTTCTGTTCCTTGGGATCATATCGGAGAAGCATATCGACCATGGGTCTAGAGTTTTTCCTCACAGCTCTGTGAAGAAGGCACAGTTCGGATAGGGCAGAATCAGAGGATGGACCTAGTTCTGAACCAACCGTTCCATCAAAGAGAATGGTTAGCAGCTTTCTGATCACCGCACACCACTCGTGGTCCATCGAGAACTCGATTAGCCACTTGAACCGTCTTAAAGGGAATAGATTTCCATTAGGTTTTGACTCTTGCCCGAGTCTTGAATTCAGTTTACTTCTGTGAAGAAGCCAGCCGATTTCATGAATAAAATCCATAGCCTGCTTTGCAGAATCTGTGCCAGTAAACTCTAACGTGCTCTCGAGCATACGGATTTCAGAACAGACATCATCCTCAACCACTATGAAAGGAAAGAAGCTACAGCTGAGGCCATTGTCTTCTACCTGGATATCAATCAGCTCATTAGATATAATATTCTACATAATTCACCAGGTGAAGAGAAATAATCAAGCTTGTTTGCAATGTTGTCCAAATCATTGGGAACGAAAATTTTGAGAAAAAGCAAATCAAGAAATACTCAAACACGAAAAGCCATTCTAAAATTCACCGATCTCATTGCAATAAAAGGACGAATGAAAATATAAGGTAGCTCTCACCTCCATAAACCCTCGACCGCTTGCAGCAGGCATATCACATGAAAATGCGATACACTCGACCTCATTGCTCTCCTCCTCAAGGGCATCATTCCCAACCATTGATTCTACAGTCGCTTCCTGAACCAAATATTTTCCTTCTACAGCACAAAGTAACCTGTAAAACATTGTAAAAGAGATGCATTTGAGTCACAGCAGAGAATGAGACAGGAGCATACATGACGACAAAGGGTCAAATTGTAAAACAATCTTAGTGGGTGTGAAGACAAACAAAGCTATGTATATGTGTATGGAGCACCAAACACTGTCTAATGTACCTCGTGCCAGGTTTTCGGAGGTTGGTGCCTCTTACAGTAAATTGAACCCTTCCAGTTGCAGCCACTGCAATCGGTCTTACACAAAAGATTTGGCTATAATTGCGACTTCTTAGAGGCAAGGATGTGTCCACAACAATCTGACCTGAAGCCCAAAAGAAAAGAAGGGTTCAGAAATCCAAACAAGAGATACGTCAAATGTGAGGATACCACAAGTAACACCATGGAAAGATGGAAGCGGAAGAGAAGCATTCCCAAAACTCACCATTAAGAGCGAATGCTATTTGGTTCTGCACCCTGACATAAATCCATCCATCTGTCCAGAAAGGGTCATCTGAAAGATCTAGAAGCCTCCTCAAACTGAAACCCAGATCACTGCAAAGCTGAAAGAAAAAGAAAATGCAACACTTCATGAGTCTGAAACTTCTAACAAGAGAGATGAGATGGCCAAGCAGAGAGAATGTCAAAAGAAATCTCACTTCTTCCCAAGCACCTTCAGCTTGACGAAGGTAAATGGTCAAAACGATACAACCAGGCCTAATGTAGCTCTCCATGTCAGTTGGACTATGTGATAACCAGTCAAGAATCTGGAGGTTCAAAATTTCAAACACAAATATCACTTTTCAAATCACTTAAAGTATTACAGCAGCTGCAGAAACTGAAGTTTCAAGATTGCATACCTGTCCTCGCAAAACAACAGGAAAATCATTCGGCTCTTTCCCAAATAGTTTGAATACGATACGATCTGTGCGGCCCTGAAGATAGAGCAGAAAAATAAAATTAGGGTTACCAGCGGAAACCCAGCAAAAACAAATTCATAAACATGTGCAGTCCAACGATGGGAGGGCATGAGAATACCTGAGCATCTATGCTGGAACTAGAAGGTGAGTGGTCAGATGCTGAATCAGAATTCCTACTTGTCTGAGGTGGACTAGACTGATGTGATTCTTGGCGTATCCATAAAGGATAATCGAGAGAACTAGTTGTTGGATTTACAGGTGGTGATCTCTCTACATCCTCTGTACCATCATCCGAGTCTATATAGATGTCATTTAAATCAAAATCATTCATTCTGACCCGTTTTGGAGAACAATTCATGCCTTCTGCACCTCGAGTACCATCTACATATAAATCTTGTCGAGGCATTTCAGATTCATTTACTGAAAGAGGCTTTAGATCCTCCTGAGGGGATTGCCCATTTGAAAGCAAATGAGAGTTGCCAACATTTAGAGATGATTGGACTCTTCCCTGCAGAAGTCCAGCAATGTTCTTTCCTATTTGTTCACCAGCATGGCTCACAAGGCTTTTCAGAAGATGGGATAAAAGATCTTGATCACCCGCATGGTCCGATCCATTGGCTGCAACAGAAAACGGAATTAACAACTAATTACTAATGGATTAAGACCAAAATCAGAAAAAAGATCATGTCAAACATAATTTTTAATGAGATTAAAAGATAAGACTAAAGCAACATACACCGCATATTGGAGAGTACTTTCAAGAGACTAATCAGCAAATAACTGCTTGTTTGATCATCACCCAGAGGATTCACATTGCCACCAGTATCAGGGTTTGTCTTCCTCCGACGTTTATTATGCCCAGCCAGACGTCTTCGGCAACTTCTCTTTCCTTCATCAAACTCTTGAAGGACATGAAACCTGCACAATATCTTTTATAGCTTAACCATGTGTTCTATGATGCAGCTATTGAAACAGACTGCAGACAGAATCTATCGATATAAGTGCAAGACAAATGACCCTTGGCCTTAATCACTCATTGGGTATCACAGGGAGCAGATTGAGAATACCAAAGTTGAAAAATTTCTTGCTACTGTATCTGATCTAAAAAGCTCTGAAGGAAGATTTACCTACTACACTGCTGACAGAACCGCTGCATAAATCCTCCAACAAGTGCACTACTAGCTTTGGAGTGCATCTCACACACCTTATGCCGTCTATGATAATCCTTCACCTTGCTCAAATCAGCTCCACAGTTTTCCACCTGACAAACTGCCCGACTGGGAACACTTCCACCAGTTTTTGTCTTCTTCGCACCATTTATGTCCAAACTCTCTCTATCACCAGCAGGATAACCATGTCCGCATAACTTCAGAGTGAGGCTACCAGCATCATCCCTCAAGTTATTATCCTCAATCACGACAGCCCTCCTCTTCTTGTCCAATTCCCTTGTCCCCCTCTCCATCATTTCTATGTTCCCTTCATCAGACCATGTGGAAGAGCTGTTCGATGAGTTTCCAGTAGTTGGAATAGCGGAGCAGAGAGGGAAAAATTGGCGCCCCATGGTTTCACTAGATCCAGGATTTAACTGTCTAGCTACGAACAAGTCACCGTCCCATTTCCAATCACTCGAATCCCACTCAACATTCCTTTCACCTACAGCCCGCAGATCCATGGCGCTAACACCATAGAAACGGTGAGCATCACCTTCAGTCCTATCTTCCATCGCAGAAATGTCCACCAAAGCTCACGAGAGAGCCAAATCAAGTGATTGTACTCTCAAAATATCCAAATTCACGGTACAGAAGAAATCAAATCAAATACAATTCATCTTGTAGATCAGAGCACAAACCCATGGAAACCCAAATTCAGACTCGCACTAGTCAACCTCGCTTCTTCCTCAAAAACCTAGAAACAGCACAGTGCCAGATCCATGGCTCTAATTCAACGCAACGTGCTTGTCCATATAAAAGCACCAATCAACTAAAGCTCTTTCGCCATGGGAGAACCATGAAACCACCCTCAAACAATCCGACCCGAGGGCTCCTCCACGCCGAAAAGGACAGAGAACTGACCTGTAACTTCGTCAAACCACACAGAACAAGAAGCACCTCCAGACACAGCTGACGACGCCGGGAATAACGACAGAACGGCCACCGGAGAAAATCCAGCCGATGATGATGTGATGGAGATGGTGAAGGTAACGATGTGAATTTGTCGTGAGGAGTGATAGGAGGATACTACTGCATACGGAGAGATTATTAGATGCGGTTGGATGTATCGTAAGCACCGTGGGGTTGCGAGTGAACGAAACGTGGGGAATGATTCAGTGTTTCACGCCTAGGGAAACACCGATGTCCGCTAGCAGACAAAACAAAACGGAAAGGAAAAAGAAATGTCGGTTAACGAACGCGGTTTTGACTTTGACCGGAAGAAACAAAAAACTTCTGGGACCATGTGGTCTTATAACGGGCCAGTCTTGGGCCTACTTATTCATGGCCCATGGTATTTGTGTTTTCCCCAGCGATATATAAATACTAATAATAAGGACTCGGCCACAATAGAATGGTCACTCACTCGTAATTACACTAAATGATATGAATTGTATTTTGATATATAGTGTATATTACTTGCTCTTAAAATGGTTATGTCATTGTTTTTATTCGTACAAAGATCATTAAATTGTATTCGATATGCGATGTACAGTATATTGGTGTGTTAATGGTGGGGAAAACATCACCAAAGATTTTGCAAATACAAGCAATAATATCATATATTATAAGTTATTTTGACTTTTCACCACGGTTATAATGGTTGAAGAACTCATGTAAAGAAAATTTTGATAGAATGAAATTATTAATCTTTACAAAAAAAAAATGCAAATATTCGAAAAAGGAGACCAAACCCACGTGACAAATACGACGTTGAATCCAATGCGTCCCTATTCTCATCTCTAAATTCTAATGTTCCTCGACTCGGTAACTTTCGAATCTACGTGGGATCTCACCCCATTATAAAATAAAACTATTAGCTATGCTCAGTGCATAAAATGTTATATATATATATATACATATATAGGGCCGTAAAAGAGGGTGTGTAAGTGGTGTTGTCGCACAAGTGTCCAATTTTTAAAAATATTAATATTAAATGTAATAATTATTAAGATTTTGAAAAAAAATATTGAAAAAAATAAAATGGAATTTGATAACAAATATAAATAATTTTTAATTTCTAAATTTTAATCAACGTATATATATAATTTTTAAAAAAAAAATTAGAGAATGTTTTAATCAAATGTTTTATATATAGAAATAGAGTTAGTGTAATAATTGATATATTTTTATTTGTCTTGTAATTTCTTGTTATAATAAATAATACAACTTATTGTTTTTTCATATAATTTGAAAATTTATCTATTAATTAGTATATTTAGCAATTATTAAATACTTCTAAAAAATATTCTATTGTATTTAAAATTTTCTAATAAAAATAACTTATAATGATATTATTGAATATTAGATTAAAAATTATAAAAATAAATAGATATTGATATATATATATGAACAGAGCATCTCAAAATTATGAGACAGTTCTCTCTCTCTATATATATATATCTATGTGTGAATAATGGTGATATTAATTAATTACAAATTGAATTAGGTTAGTTATGATTATGGTTTTTTGGGTAAATAGTTATAGTTAATGTTTATATATATACTCAGTAATATGTAATAGATTGTGACAATTAATTAGGAGAAAACCTATTGGTAAGGAATATGATCAATATATCAAAAGATTGGGGTCTGGTTCCTTACCCGTTCACATGTCGTCTGTCAATTACACTTGATTTACTTTCTGCATGTGTGTCGTAAGTTTATGCATGTAAATATAAAGTTTATCCATTTCGTTAGAAAGATAACAGATGGGTTCTCAACGTAAAAAAAAAAAGTTAACCGTGACAATTAAAATAACATAGTAACCAAAGACAATGATTTCTCAGAACCTGCACAAGATTGGGGTCTGGTTCCTTACCCGTTCACCTGTCGTCTGTCAATTACACTTGATTTACTTTCTACATGTGTGTCGTAAGTTTATGCATGTAAATATAAAGTTTATCCATTTCGTTAGAAAGATAACAGATGGGTTCTCAACGTAAAAAAAAAAAAGTTAACCGTGACAATTAAAATAACATAGTAACCTAAGACAATGATTCCTCAGAAGATGTACATAATAACCATAGTAAACTGGAATTCCGACAAAAAGAAAATAAATAAACATATCGATGAAAATAGTTAGAAGAATAAGGTGTACGTATTGTTGGTTGACATAGATTAGATGACCGTACCATTATTTATCGACGTTCCTAACAATCAAGACGAATCATATCTCTACAAAATTTGACAGATTTTTTTCTTCCAAAGTAATTTTACACATAAAAGGTAAATTAATACTCCAACACATATATAGAAAATTCTAATTTCAATTTCGGCAATATTTGCGAAACAGACACCTTATCTTCGTCATTGACTCATTGATCAATTGCAGTCGCTTAAATGGTAAACCTCCTGAAAGAATCTAATACGATATTATTCATCATGTGACTGAAGCTTCTAACCGTAGCGGATGGTCGGTCCACCCACATTCACGTATTTTTAAATAATTTAATACCGTTTATCTATATCCGGAGAATATATTAAAGTATTCCACTTGCGGTCAAAGAAACTAAAATATAAAAAATTAAATCACTCATCGTTGCATGGCGGCCGGCGCTTTTGAGCGGTAATCTCGGCGTTAATTTTTAATTCCTGGATAAATAAAATAAATTATGTATTTATTTAATTAAGTACGTAAATGACGTGGCAATCTGGATTCTTAGGATGCGAGTCTGTCGACACGGTGTCAAATGTTATGATTTCGAATTAAATAATTTTAATGTTTTCGTTTTCGGCATTTTGTTTGTCATTCCCGAATTTATCCTGGGCCGAAGATATTCGATCTTCCTCTTCTCTTATCCTTCGCCGGGTTTTAGATCTCCAAAACCTCGCACTCTTACTGTACTGATCCCTGGGTTTCTACTCTGGATCGAGGTAACTTCTTCGATTATTTCAGATAAATTTCCGCGTTTTTGCTGCCTCCGTTATTGATTTCCCGATTGAAATGCCAGTGACTGTTCTCTTTCGATCAACTTTTTTGCCTGTTGAGTTTCCTATTACCAGTTCTCGTCTGCGATCCTTACCACACTTCGAAGATTATTGCGTTGTATCGCGGAACTGTTGAATTTTATGTTTGATCTTCGCTCGGTCTGATGTTAGATTTGAATTTTCTTATTTGGTTTTAAACAAGTGTACGATAGATTTTGGGCATCAGTTTTGAGTTGTGTGGTAGCCGTAGTTTGTCTAGAATCTGAGGTGTTTTTCGTTATCCAGAACTTGCTAGAGGAGATGGGTATTAGCTGTGGCATACACTAAGGAGTTGGGTTTTGCAACATTTTTTCTTTCCACCTAGTTTTCTGTCAAAGGCTCGATCTTAATTGAGTTATTGAGTCCAATGCTATAGGAATTGTGGGACGTTATTCTGTGGATAGAATCATGAGCTGCTTCGGCTGTTGCGAGGAAGATGATATGCATAGAAATGCTGATTATGGAGGCCACAACACGGCTAAAAACTCCCGAGGTATTTTAGTAATGTGTTTCATATTACAGGAATTATGTTTGATTCTTTGCCTTTCTGGAGGAAGCTGGCAAATTTGCATATTTAATTTCCTAGTTTCTCTGTTACATAATATCTGATCAATCTTGCTCATTAGCCGCTCCATTCCGATACCGCTACAGGAAACGATGGAGGTCATCGTGCATCTGAAACTGCACCAAAGGGAACCCAGGCCGTGAAGGTGCAGCCCATAGAAGTACCTGCTATTCCAGCGGATGAACTGAAGGAAGTTACTGAAGATTTTGGACCAAATTCTCTGATTGGTGAAGGCTCGTATGGAAGAGTATACTACGGCATACTAAAAAATGGGCAGCCTACTGCAGTTAAAAAGTTAGACTCCAACAAACAACCCGACGATGAATTTCTAGCCCAGGTTTGGTGGCTTTCTGCAAATGATTTGTCATTGTTGAGGAATTATGTCGTGTCATCTGATTTTGCATTTAACCGGGAATGAATTTGCAGGTTTCTATGGTATCCAGACTAAAGCACGAGAATTTTGTTCAGCTGCTTGGTTACTGTGTTGATGGGAGCTCACGTCTACTAGCTTACGAATTTGCCAAAAATGGGTCTCTTCATGACATTCTTCATGGTATGGTAGAGAATCATTTATTCATGTATTTGTTTTATTACATGGAATCATTTTTGTGGATTTCAAGAGTATGGATTTTGATAGCTTTAACACATTGCTAATGCCCCAGGGAGAAAAGGTGTGAAGGGAGCACAGCCAGGTCCTGTGTTATCGTGGCATCAGAGAGTGAAAATTGCTGTGGGAGCTGCAAGAGGACTGGAATATTTGCATGAAAAGGCAGAGCCTCACATCATCCACCGGGACATCAAGTCCAGCAATGTTCTAATCTTTGATGATGATGTTGCTAAGATTGCTGACTTTGATCTCTCCAATCAAGCACCTGATATGGCTGCCCGCCTTCATTCAACTCGTGTTCTTGGAACCTTTGGGTACCATGCCCCTGAGTAAGTTGATCTCTGCTTCTTCTTGTTGAAAAAAAAAATCCACTTTTGAACATGTGGGATGTGTTTTTTCCTCAGTGCTCACTCTGGCAATCTCGTTCTTTTGTTCTCAGATATGCAATGACCGGGCAATTGAATGCCAAAAGTGATGTATACAGTTTCGGGGTTGTGTTGCTCGAGCTTCTCACGGGTCGAAAACCCGTTGACCATACCTTACCTCGAGGCCAGCAAAGTTTGGTCACTTGGGTACTAATTCTTGTTCTACATTTTAACCTTAGCTTCCATTTCCATCACCATCCAATGTAATAACTGAATTGATAATGGTAACTTCTAATGCATCAGGCTACACCGAAACTCAGTGAAGACAAGGTTAAGCAGTGTGTTGACGCAAGGCTTGGAGGAGATTACCCTCCTAAAGCTGTTGCTAAGGTAAACAAAAAACTCATCTCCTTGATGGATGGATTCTTGGTTTCTTAGTAGCTCTAATGTAATCGAATATGAAAGTAGTGATTGTTGCGTTGTTTATATATGAACGCAGCTAGCCGCGGTGGCTGCATTGTGTGTGCAATATGAGGCTGATTTCCGGCCTAATATGAGCATAGTTGTGAAAGCCTTGCAGCCATTGTTGAATGCTCGCCCTGCTCCTCCTGGGGAAGTAGCCCCTTAGCTGAAAGTGAAAAGAAGGTTTGTCAATATAGAGAATCAACCAATATATATATATATATATATATATATACACAAGTTTATATAAACTGTACAATTGGGTGTTTTCTTTTTCTGGTTATTGTTGATTATACTTTTACAAGGTTCAAAAACAGAATATTGCCCAAAAAAAATTTAGCACAAATCCCTCTCAAACCATCAATTTTTTTAAAAATTAGGGACAATAAAAACCACTACCTAAACTTAGGTTAACTCCGTACTCTTCTTATATATCCAATCTCCTGTAACTCAAATTCCTATCTTCCTTTCCAATCCACGGGCCTTCCCCATTCAGACAACGTAAAAACAAAAAAACAAACATGAACATTCCGACCAAACTCGCATCCACCGTTCTTGTCCTTGCAGCGGTGGCGACCACCATCGTCGTCGCAGTTCCCGCCAAACCCAACACCGACGGCAAGGGAGGTTACGTATTGTTCACTCCTCATGCAAAAGCTGTAGCCGGAATCTGCCGTGTCGTGCAAGACAAGAGTCTCTGCTGCAAAACCCTAAAACACGTTCCCTCCGACGACCCCATCCAGCTGATAAGATCCATGGCTTCCGCAGCGGAGGCCGCTACTAAAGATAGCCTGAAATTCCTCTCTGGAATCAAACCCAAATACAAAGGCAAAGAGTTTGCGATCAAAAGCTGCGAGAAAAACCTCGATTACGCGTTGGAGGATTTCGCCGATTTCTGGAAACTGGCGGGGAAGGATGAGACGAGCATGGCGGAGAATTACTTCACGTGCAAGCAAAAGATGACTTCGATATTTGGGTACCACTCGACGTGTCTTGACGACGTAAATGAAGTTGACAAGAATCTGATGAAAGAGGTTGAGGGTGGGATCGGCCTGGGGAAGAATCTGAGCGGTGAAACTTTGGATGTTTACGCCCGTTTGAATGATATTTTCAAGGGTTTCGGTATTAAGGCGGAGCTTAACGAGAAAGAGACCGACCCCTTGCAACCGCCTCCGATCTCCAACTATTACTACTGATAATATATACACACACACCAACTATGTCGATGGTGATTTGATCGATGGATTTTTAATGGGAAATTTGTGGGTTTAGGATGGGTTCAGTAACGTATGAATACCGTACGTGGGTTGTTTGTTTATGTTAGAGGAAACACATGTACGGGCCTCGTTGGAAGGGATTGGAATGCCATGACGAATATGAATGATCTTGTTTGGTTCACAATCGCGTTTGAACACTCTTCGGAGATAAAAAAAAGTTGCTGAAAATATATCTAGGGTTTATAGAAATCGGTTTAGTGAACCGGTTTGAATTTTCGGATTAATCTTAAATCAATCTCTGGTTTTTAATTTTTGGTTACATGTCAATTTATTTTGACGTGTATATAGACGTGGCAAAGCGAAATAAGTTTTCACACGTTATGTTTGCACTTGCAAATGTCAGATCATCGCGTTTTATCTAATTTGTCAATCGGAGGAGAGTTCAACTATTTTTTGATTCATTAAAAAGTTAGGTGTTTTTACCAAAAAAAGTCGTATTTTTGTTTATCAAATTTAAAATGTTAAGTGTTTTTTTTTATTTTTATTTTCACTTATAAAAATGAGACCAAGTTTACAAAATGTAATCCCAAACATATTTTTATCATCTAGGATGTTTATATTAAGTAACATTTGATCAAAACTCATCATAACATTTTAACATATCAAACCAATCATAACATAATCGTAAATTAATCATAATATAATTATAAATCATCATAAAATAAATCGTAAAAACTTAGTTTTTGCAATAATAAGATAGATGTCGTCATTTTTTTTGGTCCATTTGTATGTCTCTTTTATGATAGAACTATACTTTCACCTTTTTTATTATTACTTGTAGTTTTCCCCTAATTTACCACATTTTTTTTATATTTTCAATGTGTTTTAACACTGAAACACTACGTTGATTGTGATTTGTAGGATAACCCATAATATGATATTCGAACTATGTATTGATTTATTGATTTATAAATATATTATTTGTTCCATTATATGATTTATATTTTTGTTATATATCGGTGGTATTCTTGAGTTATTATAGGATTATTCTAAACTCCTTAATTAGTATCATTGTAGGAGCGATTTCACTCATCTCGTGCATGATTCTTGGTTCGGTTCGGACCCAGTTTCCAGTCCAATCCAAACCCCTGAGAACACATTCTCACACGGAGTTGATCCGACAGCACGATTTTGATTGAAGTCCAATTCTATCTTTTGGTTCTTCACATACAAGTCAATCCCTAGTGGGTATAACCATGTAGGTCCATTCGTAGTGACAGTGAAAGTGGTTTCAAAAACCATTATCGAACCACAAGTTATGGTTATCATCTAGGAAGACATCCTATGACCACCCACATTGAATTGAGTTAGAGGCGATCTAATGAACTACGGACCGGACCAGATCCAGTCCGGACCAGACCGCTTTTGGGTCCAAATTTCGGACCGCAGATGTCCACATCCGTCAGGCGAACCAGAACTCTGGTCCAGACTAGACTAGGATCAAACACACCAAGGTTTCGATCTGCCAAATCAGACGAGTAAGCAAGAATGGATCAAATCTGGTCCAGTCCGGACCAGACTCTAGAATTGGCGGACGAAGATTACAATCCATTCGGAATAGATGGGTTGGTTCAGTCCGTACCAAGTTACGAAAAAATTCTAAACTTCAGATTTTAGAGTTTTTGCAAGATTTTAAAGTTTAGAAACATTGTCTAAATTTTACAAGACTCCTAAAAATCTCAGAGGCACGTCAGAGAGAGAAAGAGAAACGTTCTCGTTCTCGAGTGAGGGAGAATATGATGGTGTCCTCGTGTGTTTACGAGGTGAAATGAATGCAACTAGTGGAGAAAAATCAAAAGGAGATTGCAAGAATAAAAATCTGCTAAAAAAAGAGGTTAATTTACCTAGAAATTATGAACACTCTAGACTAGGCATTAGTTTTAAAAAACTTTTCAAACCTCTTGTTTTTTATCCCGAGGACATTACATATGTGTTGAATGATCTTATAAACACTGAGCATATGAATAAAGTCGGTGATAATGAAGAAGGAATGTTTGAAACATTTTATGATTATTCTTATTAGGGATGGGCATTCAGATCGGGTTAATCGGGTTCAGGTAAAACCGATCCAATTAATCGGTTTTCGGATCGGTTCGAGTTTTGAAAAAATAACTGATCGGTTATCATAATAATATAATCGATCGGATCGGTTCGGTTCTGGTAAATAATCGATCGGTTTCGGTTATCCGATTACACCGAATTAAATAAAAATTAGGTTAATTAATTTTATGTTTAGGGTTTAATCTTCTCTTCTCTACGCCTCCTCTTTCGATCTCTGCTCTCCTCTGCGCCTGCGGCTGCCTACTCTTGAGCTCCGCCCTCCGCCCTGACCCTGCCATTGTCGATCGAAGCCAAGCTCTGCCTCTTTCCTGTTCGTCGCGTGACTCTCGCCGCCGGTCTCTACTCTTGAGCTCCGCCCTGACCCTGCCATTGTCGACCGAAGCCAAGCTCTGCCTCTTTCCTGTTCGTCGCGTAACTCTCGCCGCCGGTCTCTACTCTCTCAGCATCTGTCGCCGCCGATCTCGTCTCGTCTCTCTCACCATCTGTCGCCGTCGGTCTCTACTCTCTCAGCATCTGTCGTCGCCGGTATGCACTCTCTGCATCTGTCGCCGCCAGTATCTTCTCTCTCTCAACATCTCATCATCTATTTGTTATCCGATAGCAGAGGCCAAAAGCCAGAGGGCGTTCTTGGCTCGGGCTCGGTGTATGTGTGTCGCCGCCGGTTTGTTTCGGTGTATGTGTGTTGTGTTGTATATTTCCTGATAAAATTATTCGGGTTTTGAAAGACATATAATTTGTTAAATTTGTTAATTTTTAACTCTATATTTTTTTAACAGATGGAAAATCAAAATTCAGAATCAGTTACGTTCGGAGAATCGGTTGGTGACAAAAGAAAAGAACTGGCTTCAAATTCACAGTTACCTCCGAAAGCAAAGAGGATAGTTCCTGCGAGATCGAATATATGGAATCATTTTACCAAGCTTCCTGATAACCCAAAGAAGTGTTCTTGCAATTATTGTGGTGTTGTATTGACGGGATGTTCATCAATGGGTACAAGCAGTTTAAGAAATCATATTCAGAAGACTTGCAAGGTATACCAGAATCTTTCTGAAAGTGAGTCTCAGAAAATTTTAACCAAAGATCATTTTGTAGTAGGAGATTCTAAACTTATTGCTGTTGGGTTTAGTCAAGAGGCATGCAAAAGAGCTTTGGTTAGGATGAGCATAATGGACGAGTTGTCTTTTGCATTTGTTGATGGAGCTGGATTTAAACATTTTTGTAACGTTGCACTGCCTGTATTTGTGATTCCTTCAAGAAGAACAATGACAAGAGAAATCTACCAGTTATTCTTGAATGAGAAAGTATCTTTGAAGAATTTGTTGAATGAGAACAAGCAGAGGGTGTCTTTTACGACAGATATTTGGACTTCAATAACAACAATGAGCTATATGGTTATTACTGCTCATTTTATAGATAGAAATTAGCGTTTGCACGGGAAAATTATTAGTTTCAGCCCTATATCGAATCATAAGGGGGAGACCATTGCAAGAGAATTTGTGAAATGTTTGATGGATTGGGGTATTGAGAAGGTTTTTACCATTACCGTGGACAGTGCTAGTGCAATGATTATGCTTTAAAGCTTTTAAAGAATAGATTGGGTGCTTGGAATGCAGATACTCTTGTGTTGAATGGTGATTTCATGCATTTGCATTGCGGGACACATGTTTTGAATTTGATTGTCAAGGATGGGTTGTCAGATATGCGTGACAGCGTAACGAGCATTCGTAATGATGTGAAGTATATAAGGTCCTCTGATTCAAGGTTGCAAGCTTTTAAAAGTCGAGTTGGAGGGGGCAACTTTAATAGAGGAAGTTTGGTTTTGGATTGTGCGACACGTTGGAACTCGACTTTCCTAATGTTATCTTCCGCTTTGAAGTACAGAGATGCGTTTAAACGAATGGAAATGGAAGATAAGCTTTATGAGAACTATTTTGGCGAAGATGATGATTCCAGAATCGGGAAAAAAAGGCTTGGTCCTCCTTCAGAAAATGATTGGGAAAATGCTCATCGATTGATACGCTTCTTGAAGATTTTTTATGACTCGACTTTAGCATTTTCTGCAACTACAAAGGTAACTTCCACTTCTTGCTACAACGAGATTATAAAGGTTGAAACGGTTTTGTCTTCCTTGGCAAATAATCCCGATCATGAAATGAGCAAGATGGCCAAGATAATGAGATTTAAGTTTGATAAATATTGGGAGGGGACCGAAAAGATCAATAAGTTATTGATCATTGCTTCTGTATTTGATCCAAGGAGTAAGATGAGTTTTGTAACTCATTGTTTTGACAAGATGTATGGTAAAGTTAGTGTCAAAAGTGTTGATATGAAGCGAAAGTCGACATACATCCGTTGGTAGTACAGATTTATATGGATCATCAAGTAGTGTGAACGATGTTGATATCGATATGGGTTTTACTTATGATGATGATCCTTTTGCTTCGTTTACCCAAATGATGGCGGATAAAGGGGTTATCGAGGAATCGCCGAATGAGTTGGATATTTATTTGATGGAAAAGGTCGAAGTGATGAATCCTAACAACTTAGGTTGCGAATTTGATATTTTGTCATAGTGGAAGGCGGTCAATGGTAAATTTCCAATCTTGGCGGAAATGGCGAGAGATTTATTAGCAATACCGGTCTCAACGGTTTCATCAGAGTCGATATTTAGCACTGGAGGTCGCATTCTAGATCAATATCGGAGTTGTTTAACTCCTCATATGGTTGAAGCATTAGTCCTTACACAAAATTGGTTGATGTATCCTCTTATTTCGGATGAAAAACGTAGCTTCGGTGATTTGATAGTAGAAAATGAGTTTATGTTTGCATTGGCGGAAGGTATCTATTATATTTACATTATTTTATAAGTATTATCTAAGTTTGCAATGTCTTGATTTGTTTATTTTTTTGTTTGTATAGAGTTTACAAAATCATCGGGACAAGATGACTCGGGACAAGGTGATTTGTGTGTCATCTAGAATGAAGCTCGTCAAGGTGATTGTTTTTTATATTCATTCTAGTTTTATGTTTGAATGGTCTTTCTTATTTTGTCATTGGTTTTTCATTTCCAAGGTTCGATATATGGAGCTCTTGTATGAGAAGATTGTTGAAGGAACGTTTTATGTTTGATTTTTATTTTTGATATGAGACTATTAATGTTAGATTGATAATCACATGACATTAAGAATGTTGTTTTTCTTATTTTTCTATAAGACTTTTTTTATGGAATATTTGTTTGGATAAACCCGAACCGAACCCGAAAAAATCTGAACCGAACCGAAACCGAACCGATTAAGATTATACACCCGATTGGATATGAAAATTCTAAACCCGAACAACCCGAATCCGAAATAACCGAATCCGATTAATCCGATCCGAACCGATCGCCCACCCCTAATTCTTATCATGATATGTTAGCATTCAAACTTGAGTTTAAACATATTAAGAACCTTTATCTACTCTTGTTTGATGAAATGAATATTCTTGCAATTTTATTTCGGTTTATCATATGGAGTGTCACGACCTCCTTTATGTTTGCTAACGTTATACTTGAGTCCATGCAGAAAACTAGGACCTTGAAAACGATGGAACCGACATGGAAGAAGATGAAATGTTTGAGGACACCTCAAAGTGACTATGAAGGTATCCACTCTCCAATATTAGCTTTTTGAATTTTCTCCAATCTAATATTGAGGGAGAATGTTGAAGATAAAACAAAGAATGTAAAAGAGGTCCGAGAGATAGCAAAAGAAAAGGACCAAGAGTTATTTTCTCCTCATATACCAAAGGAAGCTCGGAATAAGGATAGTGTCGTTGCATGGGTTGCATGTCTATGAGGCTTGGAAAGGAAACGTGGATGACTTGGAAATTCATCATGGCAAGAAAGGAAAGTCAATGGGATATGAAAAAGAGACGTTATCGAGCTCTCTCCCTTTTGAAACCCTAGAATCCTGAAACTTCTCCGTCGTAAAACCGGTCGACCCACTGCCGGCCGGAAAAAAACCCTGCAACCGCCGTCCACTTCCCAGTCTTCAAGGATGGCTAGGAGGAGGCAGCGCAAATCTCCTCCACCTAAGCTCCTCGTCACTGCCGTCGAACCAGCGATCTAGAGCCAGATTTTCAATCTCCCACTGGATCCTTTGACTCCTCACCCACCACAGATCAGTCGAGCGGTAAACACCCGGAAAACAGCTCAGCTCAACCAGGGAACGCCATACCGCCTCCAGAGACCCGGATCTTGGTGCCTAATGCGCCCAATTTCCTTCCTCAGGACTTTCCACCTCTCTCGTCCTCTGCAGCTAAGGCCCCGTGCCAAAGCCGAGCACATCTCCCGGACCTCCCATGAGAGCCCCGGGCCACAAGTGCTCCTGAACTCCCGATGGCTCCTACAGTGGAAGCCTCCTCTACGGTGCAGACTCAGCGATTCCCGTGGGCAGAACGGCTTCGTAAGTCTTCCCGTAACCTCTCTCGGTTGGCTACTCCAACTTACTCTGCTTCTGGTATTCCCCGAGTTAAAGTCCCCAGCGCTGTCTTTCGCGAGGTATCCAAAGCCTAGACTGACTACCTCGTCGGACAATTTTATGGAATCTCGCCTCAAGTCTCCAAAATCTTTCAGTCCCTAAATCCGATCTGGGGCCGAAAATCTCGCATCATAGTTCGACGAACAGGTGACTCGACATGCCTATTCTTCATTCCGGATTTGGCTACACGTGAGTGGGTGCTCGAGGTTTGTATCTGGAGGGTCGCGGACGTAATGTTTGCCCTCTCGGAATGGACGCCGATCTCACCACTCCGGAAACCCTCTCTCAAATCTGCCCCGATTTGGGTAACCCTGAAGAATATCCCTCCGAAAATGTTCTCGCTCCAAGGAATCAGCTATATTGCAAGCGGGATAGGAGAACCCTTGCACACGGATAAGATGCGCCTTGACCCTCTTCACGTTGGGACAACTCGCATCAAAGTAGAAATTCAGTTAGGCTCAACTCTCCCAAGTATCGTGGAAATTGAAGATGACACCGGAGAGGTGACTGGAGTGAAAATTGACTGTGAGTGGCTCCCACCGCGGTGCCCAGATTGCAATGAGTTCGGGCATAACAAACAACATTGCCCCTCAAGGAATCTTAACCTAGCTCCTAAGACTCAAGCAGGCTCCTCGGAACAAGAAGCTGAGCAAACAAAAACTCAAACTATCCCACAAGAGTCGGCTCCCCCGAAAATCTCGTCGGGTCCACCGCAGAAAGCAATCAGCACTCCACCTCCTCTGCGACCAGCTGCCTCTCCACCTTCTCAGAAACCTCTCATCCTGTTCTACAACAGCAACCCATCATAAATAATAAGGAAATTCTTGACCCAACATCATCTTCACTACACATTGTTCGGCAAAGTTCAAGTGCCTCTTCGCCAAGTAATCCTGCACCATAGTTCTGTTTTGACTCTGAGGAAAAACTCGTTGCGGAAGCTCAGAGATTACTTCGTTCTTGTTGCGTAACCGTAGCTCGTGCCCAAGAAGACCCTGCGGATCAGAAGAAGGGTCGAAAGGGCAAAGGCCGCGGTAGTTAAACGTGTCTCGATCCCATGCAGATTTTGTTTTTTGGATCAGCGAAAAGTAGATGAAGTTAATTTGTTGGAACATCCGGGGCCTGAATGGCAGCGTCAAGCAGCGGACTATAAAGAATTGGATAGTCTCGCATAAGCCCCTAATCTGCGGATTGATTGAAATCAGGATTAGGGAAGAGGCTGACGCCTTTACCATCTTCCGTCTTCTTTTTCCGGGATGGTCTTTTGCTAACAATTACAACACAATAACATTGGGTAGAATTCTGATTGCATGGGATCCGTCGGTCTCAGTGGTAGTTTACTCATCATCAGCCCAAATGATCACCTGTAGAGTTTACGAGCCTTCGACATCCATATATGTTACGGTCTCATTTATCTATGGTAGGAACACCCCCTTGGAACGTCGAGAACTTTGGTCAGAAATCAATTTGCTTGCTACAAATGGTCTGGTTACATCGAGGCCCTGGCTACTTACAGGCGATTTTAATCGGATTCTGTTCCCTAACGATCACGCATCCCCATCCTTCCCCTTTACTCCTCACTCGGGGATGGTTGACTTCCAATCATGCCTTACCTCCGCGGGGTTGTTTGATCTCACTTCGAGAGGGCAGCACTTTACTTGGGCAAACAACAATCCTGACAATCTGATTGTCCGAAAATTGGATAGAGCCATCATAAATGAGAAGTGGCTTCTCACCTTCCCAGACTCTTTTGCTATCTTCGAAGCCCCTGCTCCGTCAGATCACAGCCCATGTGTGGTCACAATTTCATCAGTTTTGGCAACCAGGAAACACATGTGTTTTAAGTTCTTTCACCTACTATTGAAGCACCCGGAGTTTCATCCTCTAGTTGAACGTGAATGGCTACATGGAGATACCAATGGGACATTCATGTTTCGCCTCACAAGGAAGCTAAAGAATATGAAATTTCACTTGCGGAAGCTAAATCATACAAGTTTAAGCAACATCCAGAAATGGGCAGCTGCGGCGTTGGAGGAACTTAAAGCAGTCCAAGCACAACTTCTCTAACATCCCTCTATGGATCTTGCCAGACGGGAAGCAGATTCCAGAGCTACTTGGTCATTCTTTGCAGCTGTCGAAGAGTCCTTCATGAGACAAAAGTCTCGAATAAGTTGGCTCAAGGAGGGCGACCAGAATACCAAATACTTCCACAGGGTTTCGGTCGCTCGAACAGCTACTAATGCGATCCGTTTCCTTCTTAATGATGCAGGTACGAATATATACGACCCTGTTGTGCTGAAGCAAATGACAGTGAATCATTTCAAGACTTTCCTTGGAGCAGAGGACCAGAACATCACTAGTTGACCGATGGAGCAGGCTAAATAACTGATGCCTTTTCGCTGCTCCGATCAGATGGCGAGGTTTCTAATTGCGCTGCCAACAGATGACGAAATAAAATCTGAAGTGTTTAGCCTCCCGCGTAACAAATCGCTCGGGCCGGATAGGTTTACGGCGAAGTTCTTCACATCATGTTGGAACGTCGTAGGAGATGATCTGATGGCCGCAGTCCGTGAATTCTTCTTGAAGGGGAAAATTCTGCGAGAGTGGAACACTACTCTGATTTCGCTGATTCCGAAGACCAAGGAAGCCGACCAGCTTAAGCTTTTTCGCCCGATATCCTGCTGCAATACAACTTACAAAATCATCTCCCGATTACTAGCGAAGAAGCTGAAAACTCTTCTGAATGACGCAGTGCTTCCCAATCAGACGACCTTCATTCCAGGACGTTCTATCACAGAAAATGTGTTATTAGCAACGGAACTTGTCTCAGACTTTAGCTCAAGAGGGAGTCCTAAACGGGGCTTAATCAAAGTTGACCTCACAAAGGCCTTCGATTCAGTGAATTGGGAATTTGTACTCCAAATATTGGCTGTCATTGAAGTTCCAGCAATTTTCATCCAATGGATAAAGGAGTGCTTGACTACAACAGCCTTCTCGGCTTCCAGCTGTTGAAATCTGTAATTTACAGTATCATCAATTTTTGGGCATCGGCTTTTGTTCTGCCTACCAGTTGTGCAAGGGACATTGAGAAAATGTGTTCTGCTTTCTTATGGAAAGGAACTTCGGACACTGCAAAAGGTGCTAGGGTAGCTTGGAGTAGTATTTGTTTGCCAAAATCTCATGGTGGACTGGGACTACGGAGAATTACGGAATGGAATCAGATTTTATGTCTGAAGCTAATATGGACCTTATTCACTAAAGCTGGCTCCTTATGGGTAGCATGGGTCAAGGCTCACCTATTCAAGGCAAAACCATTATGGATAATATCTCAGCGAAACACAGGGAGTTGGGCATGGAAGAAACTCTTGAAGCTGCGACCAATGGCGCGCAATTTCATCCGTTGTTCGGTGGGAAATGGTAGCACTTGCAGTTTCTGGTACGATAGTTGGTTGATGTCGGGCCCGTTGATATTATCGCTGGGTGAGACAGGGCCGAGACTGCTTGGAATCCCGAGACTTGCGACCATCTCTCGGGTCTACCTAGATGACGGATGCCACCTTCCACCACCTCGGAGTACAGCGATCGAAGCGGCATACACGGAAATACTCTCTGCAGTGGAACCGGTCCCGCAATAGCATGGTGATACATACTACTGGGCTGAATCACACTCGGCGACAGTTTTTCCGGCGTTCTCGACAGTCAAGGCTTGGTCGAACCGCAACATCAATGCACCGCACGCTCCTTGGCACAAAGCTGTCTGGTTTGCAAACTCCATACCCAAGCATTCCTTTACGGTATGGTTAGCTATCATCAATCGACTCCCAACGCGACAACAAACATCGTCTTGGTCAACCAATGCACCGGCGAATTGCATTCTCTGCGACCACCACACTGAAGATGTGAACCACCTGTTCTTTAACTGTGCTACTCTAGTTTAATCTGGCCTGCCATCCTGCAACCGTCGGGGATAGTTCCACCATCTCATGGATCATTCTCTGATGTTGTCTTATGGCTTCATCGATGCACAAATAACCGTGAGCTCAAACTCATGGTTTCACTGATCTTCCAAGCTGTGGTCTACACTATATGGCGCGAGCGTAACACCCGTGCTCACAGAGGACAACTAACGCCAGCACAAATCCTATGGAAAGAAGTCAAGCGGCTGATCCGGAGGAAAATATCGACTCTCGAGAATCCAACAAGGGGAAAGTTCTTCCCGAAAGACCTCTGACTACATGGTTTCATGTTTTTTATCCTATCTTGTAATCTCATTGGTGATCTTTGCTTAGGCTGATGTATGAGCTCTAACCACTCTTTGGTAACCACCCTTTTGTAAATTTTTTTCGAGATTAATGAATTACAGTTAAAAAAAAAAAAGGACGTTGAAGGAGATTATACTAAACGTAAGGTTTTGTTCCTATTTATACAAGATGATAAAACATTGAAGCACATAAATTTTTCATAATACTAAATTGGCGCCTATGCTTATATTACATGTACAGATTAATAGCCCACATTATAGAACAAACGTGGCACGTGTCAAGGTCTAAGTCACACGTGTTGATATTTATGTGAGACATATCCATGTAGAGTTCTCTAGATCGGACCAAATCTATGAGTGGTCGCACATCCTTGTGCACATAGGCGGATCCAATTTGATATGAATGGGGCATGTGTTCCATTTGTTTTATTAAAAAATAATTTCTTTATAAAACTTATAAACTTTTTAATAAAATTGTTAAATGTTCTGTGATAAAATTATGTTTGTCATAGTAAAATTTAAGTTTGCCCCCATTTATAATTTTTTTTTTAGATGCTATTGCGCGTGTTGTCTTCATGTTATTTTAGGAATGTCTTTTTCGTGATAACATTTAATGGCGTTATACTTCTAAGCTTGAAGAATAATTATCCTTGTGTATTAAAATTTTATGATCGTTTGTCATATTCATAACCCTAACTCGCCCGTCTGATGTTTCTAACATTTTCTAAAACCTCTCTTTCCAACCAACATGTGGAATATTGTGAAAGCACTTCAACAAAAAAATGATTAGTTTAATTATAAAGGGATCAAATTAAATATATATTGAATCAAAATTTTAATTAATTATAAGCTTTTTGGATTTAATTAATTTAAAATCTTCATTAATATATATACAATAATTAATTTTTTGTTTAGTAAGTGTGTATTACGTGCTAATGGCTGGTAACGCAATCACAATTGCGGCTATCGTGGACGTTTGCGATGTGTAAACTGACAATTTCGGACGATTAATGTTTGATTGATAGGATAATTATTGTTGGTAACCATTAAGAATGATTGTAATTTAGACCGAATGATTGACAGCGATTGCGATTTACTGTAAATTACCAAAAAATATATCATTTTATTGTATACAATACCAACCTTTTTAATTAGTTTTTTACTATTATTTTATATCAATTAATTATAAAACTTATAAATAATTAATTATAATTTTAAAACTATAAATGTTTTTATCAATTTAATTTATTTTTTAATAAAATTAATTTTAATATTAAAAATATATTTTAAAAAATATTTATTAGTAAAAACAAATAATATCAAACATAATACCAAATAAAATTATTAATATTTAAATTTTTGCTAATTTATATATATATAAAAATATGTATCTGTGTATATATGTATGTATATATATGTAGATATATACGTATGTGTGTGTGTGTGCACATGGGCGGATCTAGGTTAGGAGGGGTGGGGGCACAGGCCCCCATTCTAATTAAAAAAACAAGTAATTATTAGGTAAATTTTGTAAGATTATGAAAAAAATTTACCCTATGCCCCCATAAAAATAGCATTTGATTCTATAAAATAATATATATAAAATTAATGCCCCCATTTATATTTTTTTCTAAATCCGCCACTGTGTGTGCATATGTACATATGTGTATGTATGTGTTATACGTATGTATATGTACATATATTTATATGTATATGTGTGTTTGTATGGTATGTGTTTGTGTATATATAGATATATATATTGGCTCGACTCGAGTTAAGGTTGAAATCCAATTGGGCTCACCACTTCCAAATATCGTCGAGGTTGAAGACAAATCAATTGGTGTATCCACTATTAAAGTAGTTTACTTGTGGATCCCTCCACGATGCTCACTCTGTGAATCGTCGGATTCCTTCTTAGTCCCACCGATATCCCACTTCCGGAATCATTGGACCCTAGTCACCACCACAAAAAGGTACCCTTCTATTACGACTCCATATCCGCACCCTTCTCAAAATACTCCTTCCCCTCATGAACGAGGTCGTACGGCACATACTTTTACTAAATCAGTTCACTCTAACCATCCAAAGAACACGTTATTTGTCCAAAATTATGTTTTGATTCAGACGGAGAACTAGTAGCATAAACACAAAGAATTCTACGAACTTGTCCCTCCACTATTGTTACAGTCCAAAAAACTCAACGTGTTGTATGTTTTCGTGTTGTCAACATCCCTATATCTTCTATGGATTTCAACTGATCGGAAAAAATTTGAAAAGAAAAACATAGATATCAGTTAGTCTTACCCTCCAACACCGTCACTTGCAACAAACATTCCATACCATTTTTATTTCTAATTTTATTCACTCTTGACTTATTATTTCACTTTCAATCTAGTTTGATTTACTATTATAATTTGGTACCGTGAACGTTAATATAAGTATTACCCTTTGGTAATCTCTTTCGTACGTTCATCTAGATGTATAATATGTACCGTTAAAAAAAAATTATGTGAAAATCTACAGATTGCATGTCGGGATTCACACATCTGATTTTCTTATGAAGTAAGGGTTGTGTTGTGGAAACATTTGGTGGTTGCGTGAATGTAAATAAACAAAAACATCAGTCCAATGTTTTTAGATAAGAGTCTACCTAAGATGCAAGTTCTGTCCACAAAAAAAAATGTAAATAAATGCGGACCAAACCGCCAAAGGGGGAAGCGTGCTGAATGGTTTCTTTCTAAAATTGTGACGCACGTGTTGTCGTCACTGAGATAGTGACGTCATAATTGTGGGCAAATACTGGACAATTACGTGTCAAATGCTAGGCAATGCCTCAGCAGTGACCTCATCTTCCTCTATTTATACTTTGTCCTTTTTGGAGCCTGCTTGGGGTTCACTAAAATCCACTTGCAGATCCAAAACTATAATATATGGAAGCGTATATAGTATATACCAACAATTAATGCAGTTTATTTTATTTATCTGCTTTCTGTTGAAACAAAAAACATAAAATATACATTTCATATGACGGTGTCATGAAATGATAGTGCATCTTTGCTGAATACATTTGAATTTTTCAATTCAACAACCCCCAAGATTATTCTTACCCATTAACAAAGCATATATTTATTTTAAAATTCCTATGAAGATTTAATACATTAAATAAAGTATTATTCATTGACTTTTTAATTTCTTTGCCTCTTATTATATAATAATTCAGGATAGTCACACACTCTGATTTCTTTTTTCTTTTTTTAATCTTGAAAAGGATAGAAAGGAAAAAGTTGGATCTGATCATATCACAAACTAAAGTTGGATCTGACCATATTGAAGCGAAAAAAATTCAAACCCTTCAAAATTTTCGAATGTTATTAATTTTAGAAAACCGAATTTTTCATAATCGAACCGAATCAAAATTTGAAAAAATTTGAAAACCGATTTTTAAAAAAAATATAATTTTTTAATAAAAATTGAAATCGAACCGAATATAATATAATAATAGATTGATATCTATTTTTATAAAACCAAAAAAATTGAAGCAAACCATTTTGCATCCGAACCCTACCCAATTTCAAAACAAGCAATCACATATAACCACAGCGTACACGTGTAAATAGATACCCATTACACATAAATGCCCCATTAAATAAAAATCATCCATCATATATCATATAACGCACCAAGCTACACACACAAACACGAGGAGAAATAAAGAGCTGCTGCTTCTTCTTTTTTTTTTTTTTTCTGGTTTTGCTGTTCTTTGTGAGCTACCTATGGCAATGGAGCTCATGAGCACAACCACTTTCCTGACACTAGCTCTGGTACTCGCTGTTGTTCCGAAGATATGGGAAGCCTGTCGGATTCTCCTGTGGAGGCCGTACGTGCTGTCCAGGAGTTTGAAGAAACAGGGAGTTTCGGGACCAGGTTACAAGATCTTGTACGGTAACATCCGCGAGATCAGGAAGATGAAGAGTGAGGCTAAGACTTCGGTTCTTGATCCCAACTCTCACAATATCCTCCCTCGTGTTCTTCCTCATTACCACTCTTGGATGTCCCAATACGGTAGCGTTTTTACCCTCTTCCCTCTCCCTTGTTTATTTATTTATATTTCCACGGCGTTTAAGGGCTGTGGATAATGATTTCGCACGCGTCATGACTCATGAGTATGAAAACCGATCCACTACATGACGCTCTAGTTTCGGAATTTTGCGTTGATTGAGACAAAATCGACCGAGCGTTTCTGGTATTTTAAAAAGCTTTGATTTCTTTAGAAAAGTTTTAGGGAAAAAAATATAACTATTTTCTTCAAACATTTTAAACTTCAATTATTCAGTAATCCAAAGAAATCTTAATCTTTAAAAAACATCGAAAAAACCTTTAGTTTTTTAAAAACACGTTTATTTTAAAATACCAATTATGTATGAATCTAAATAAAACAAGAATGTTGAAAACATCTATAAAAGCTATGATTACATACATATATATATATATTACGGTATAAATAGATAATATGATGAACGAGTACACAATGACGTGTATGTGCGCCGAAAATGATTTCTGTATTATTCCATAGACATATATACACGAAGAGGAAGGGTGTAAACCCTAGTACAGGCTCGAGAGGAAGAAGGAAAGAAGACAATCACGTGAGGAAAAATATAAACAGAATATACATATTGCCATATGTGTGTTTGTTCCCTTATACGCCCCCTCAAGACGGGCCGCCATCGGAGAACATCGATCGGGGAAGTGGCTTTGTGAGGATGTCCGCAAGTTGGTCTTTCGAGCTGACGTGAGAGACGCGCAATGTTCCCTTCTCGATTTGGCCTCGCACAAAGAGATAGTCCAGAGCAAGGTGTTTCATTCGTGAATGAAACACGGGGTTTGCACTGAGGTATGTCGCCCCAAGATTGTCGCAGTAGATAACCGGAGGCTTAGAGAGTGTGACTCCAAGTTCCGAGAGGAGATTAACTAGCCATTGGACTTCAGCAGACGTGTTCGCTACAGAGCGATATTCGGCTTCCGTCGATGAACGTGAGATTGTGCATTGCTTCTTGGAAGACCAAGAGAGAAGATGCCGGCCAAGATAAACCATATAGGCTCCCGTAGATTTAAAGTCGGAGTGATCGCCGGCCCAATCAGCGTCACTAAACGCATGGAGAACAAGTGGGTTGTCGGCCGCCATGAATAGACCAGTCCGAGGTGTACCAGCCAAATACCGGAGTAACCTCTTGACAGCCAGCCAGTGTTGATCAGTCGGGCGATGCATGAATTGAGCCAATTTGTTAACCCCAAAGGAAACATCCGGTCGCGTAAGGGAGAGATATTGCAGTGAGCCAATAACCTGTCGGAACTCAGAGGGATCGACTAGCGGGTTACCAGTATCAATCGTGAGCTTGGTCGAGGAGGCCATGGGAGTAGGTACTGAGTTCGCCTCATGCATGTTGGTCCGACGTAGTAAGTCAGCGATGTATTGTCGCTGAGAAAGAAAGAGGCCAGCAGGAGTGCGTGTTGCTTCCACTCCAAGAAAGAAGGACAACAACCCAAGATCTTTAATAGAGAATCTTGTGGCAAGCGACGTGATGAATGATTGGGTTTCGGTGGAGCAGCTGCCTGTGACAATAAGGTCGTCTACATAGAAGAGGACGATAAGCCAAGTGGAGCCTCGGTGATGAATGAAGAGGGACGCATCCGATAGAGAGTTCACAAAGCCAAACTGAAGAAGATACGACCGAAGCTCCGAGTACCAAGCACGCGGGGCTTGCTTGAGTCCGTAAATAGCCTTGCGAAGTTGGCAAACGTGATGGGGCTTCTCTCGATCAACAAACCCGGGTGGTTGCACCATGTACACAACTTCAGAGAGATTACCTTGAAGAAAAGCGTTGTTGACGTCAAGTTGTCGGATGGACCAATTACGTGAGACGGCGAGACTGAGAACAAGGCGAATGGTTGCCGGCTTCACCACCGGACTAAAGGTATCGTGATAATCAATCCCGGGTCGTTGGTGGAACCCCTTGGCCACTAGACGCGCCTTGTACCGATCGAGAGAGCCGTCAGAGCGGTGTTTGATTCGAAAGACCCAGCGGCAACCAACAATATTGGTGGCTGTCTCGGCGGGAACAAGATCCCACGTGTGATTCCGGACTAAAGCAGCGTACTCCTCACTCATGGCATCCTTCCAACACTCATGTTTAAGAGCTTGAGCAGCATTCGTCGGGAGGGTAGTAACATGAGAATCTGTCACCAAATGAGCAAACTTGGGATTAGGTTTTGAAATATGTGCCTTAGCCCTTGTGACCATGGAATGTAAGTTCCGGGGAACAGCCGGGGGAGAATGAGAGCGCGCTGGCACTAGCAGAGGAGATGACTCCGAGGTTTGAGAGTCAGAACCAGGAGACGGCGAAGAGACAACAACCTGTTCCTCTAACACAGAATCAGCTGACTCAATCTCCAGGTTTCTCGGTGAAGAGTCCAAGCCAGGGAGCTGTTCCAAAGACGGGTTTACTTGTGCCACACGAAAGGGATGGACAACTCTTGCAAATGAGTGATCCGACACAGAAGAGGTAGACTCAGACGATGGAGGAGACAAGAACTTTGTGGGAGATGCAAAAGGAAACACGGACTCGTGAAAGACGACATGGCGAGAGACGTACATGCGGGAGGTGATAGGATCAAGACAAAAATAACCACTTTGGGTCGGAGAGTAACCAAGGAAGACACACGGGTGTGAGCGAGGGTCAAGCTTGTGGGTCGAGTAAGGTCGGAGCCATGGATAACATAAACACCCAAATGTTTTGAGCTTGGCATAATTGGGTACGATGTGGAAAAGGGGTTCGAATGGGGAAGACATGGAAAGAACGGGTGTAGGCATGCGGTTTATGAGGTAAATCGATGTCGTAAAGGCATATGACCAAAATGAGGTGGGTAACGACGCATGCATGAGAAGAGAGAGACCGGTTTCTACGATATGTCTATGCTTGCGTTCGGAAATGCCATTGTGCTCGGAGTGTGAGGAGGGGTAGTGAAATGAGAAATGCCATGTTCAGCGAGAAAGGACGCAAGGGCAATGAACTCGCCCCCATTGTCCGTGTAAAAGTTGGTGATTTTGGATTAAAACTTGTTTTCAACTAAGGCTTTAAACTTAATAAACGTATGACGAACATGAGATTTGTTTTTCAAAGGATAGAGCCAAGAGTATCGAGTATAGTGATCAATAAAAAGGACGTAATATTTGAACCCATCCACGGAAACAACCGGGGACGTCCAAACATCCGAAAACAAAAATTCAAGTGGTCGAGAAGAAGATATAGTTGAAGTAGAAAATGGTAGTTTATGACTTTTATTTCTAGAACAAGACTCGCAATGAGACGACAAAGACTCCCGAGACAATGACAATGCATGACTAGAGACAATATGTTTGAGAACCGACAACGATGGATGACCAAGACGTGAATGCCACTCGGACAAAGTGGACTTTAGACTCGAAAAAGCTAAACAAGGAGAAGAAGAGGAAGGAGACGATGGCCACTCATAAACCCCGTCTTTAGTTCTTCCTGTCATTAGAAGCGCCTCCGTGCTTTGATCTTTCACCTGAAACATGTGAGGAAAGAATTCAACCGAAACGTTGTTAGTCTTGCATAATTTTTGAACCGAAACAAGATTCTTGCGAATATTAGGCACACATAACACATCATCCAATGAGAGAGATCGATGAGGGAGAGAGATTGAAATGGAACCCTTATGTATAATAGGTAGTCCAGTTCCGTCACCGATAATAACATCGTCGGCACCATGGTAAGGACTGTGGAGAGACAAGCTATCGAGATCAGAGGTTATGTGATGTGAAGCTCCGCTATCCAACAGCCATGGCGTCGCGTCGTAAGGGTTGTGCACGACATTGTAGGCAACATGATTCCAAGGCCGAGGACCACGAGACGGAGACTGTGTCACGGGCATGGCAGAATCCGAGGTTCGTGACGTGGAGATGAGTCAAAATTCAGGGCAGAATTTCGCACTGTGTCCTTGGACACGACAAGCTTGACATCGGCCTTTGTAAGTTCCAGAGTTGCCAGGACAAGGGCGCCAGCCTGAGGAAGGAGATCGACAATTCTGATCTGAACGACGAGACATCGAACCAGCAGGGTTTGCTGTCACCGGAAATGAAGTGAGAGGCAAGGGTGATGCAACAACAAGTTTTGCTTCGTGATTTAGCAGCTTTTCGTGGAGTTCCTCAACGGTGATAGCGGTATCCCTAGCGTTGACAAGATCAACGATGGGCTTATATTCCTCGGGTAGTCCATCAAGGATTGCTTCCAAAACATCTTCATGATCCATAGGTTTTTCAAGGAGAGCCAATTCATCAACTTTGGAGGTGATGAGTCGGAGATAGTCATCGACATTCTGAGTTCCTTTCGAACTCCTCTTGATTTGTTCCCGAAGCTGTAAGATGTGTCCACGAGAGGCTTTCCCGTAGGTGTTCGCCAGGGTGCGCCATGCTTCTCGAGATGATGTGGCACGAGCAATAAGAGGCTGAAGTCCAACGGAAAGAGCTCCGAGGAGAGCACTGAAGATTAGCCTATCTTGCTGCTTCCACGGTTGAAAGGTCGGGTTAATGGTAGTGACACCATCGGTGATGAGTGTCGCAGCGGGGACTTCAGATTCAGCCGTGATGAAGCCATCGAGGTTGTAACCCTCGAGAAACGCTCGAACTTGCACGCTCCAAGTGAAATAATTTGACGCAATGAGTTTGGTAACACTTGACATGTTAACCGAGAGAAGAGTCTTCTGAGGATCTTGGAGATTGAACGTGGCTGCCGGTTCCGGAGTTTGAGTGGGGGTGTTGTCGGAGGAGGTCGACATGATGAGAGTAACGTCGGAGGATCGGTGGTTGTTAATTAAACGCGGTGCCCTGATACCATGAACGAGTACACAATGACGTGTATGTGCGCCGATAATGATTTCTGTATTATTCCATAGACATATATACACGAAGAGGAAGGGTGTAAACCCTAGTACAGGCTCGAGAGGAAGAAAGAAAGAAGACAATCACGTGAGGAAAAATATAAACAGAATATACATATTGTCATATGTGTGTTTGTTCCCTTATATATGATATGATAATTCAAATATAACTAAATTTTTAAATATAAATTATCATACCACACGTATCATAATGTAGTTGAATATGATTATTATTATAAATCTAATTAAAATATTTATAAACACAAGTTATAATTGCATGTGAATTTTAAATGTTTAAAGAATCTAAAAATTGAAATAAATCAAATATAAATATATGATAGTAATGGTAATCATATAAGATCTTAGAATAAACAGAGTTAGAATCAGTTGTTTGAGGTTTCAAACAACGTCAAATTAGAAAAAATTATCCTGGAAAAAAATATAGAATTGTATTTTGACGGTAGTCTTTGCTTAAGTTTTATTATTGTCATGAGAAAAATAAAACCGATCCTGGTTGGGGAGGGGTTTTCACATGGACTGCGCCGGTCCTCTGGAAGATGTAGTTGGGGCAAAGACCCGGTGAACTTCCGGATTATAAAAAAAAAACCGATGAAAAAGAAAAAAATAGATATTATAGAGGTGAAGGTGACGATAATTTCGTGTCATTGCAACATTGGATTTTAAAATATTTTCAATAATAATTACAGGAGAGACATTCATTTATTGGTACGGAACAGAACCAAGGATATGCATTTCGGAGCCTGAGTTAGTGAAGCAGATATTGTCGAACAAGTTCGGTTTCTACGTTAAACCCAACGTGAGGCCAGAAGTCAATAAACTTACTGGCAACGGACTTGTCTTAGTTGAGGGTCTTGATTGGATCCGACACAGACGAATCCTCAACCCTGCTTTCTCCATTGACAAGCTCAAGGTTCTGTGATTTGATCTGAAACGTACGTAATTATAGTCTTATGGTAAACCCTTTAATTATCTTCCGCGGTTCGGTCGTGAGCACAGGTCATGACAAAGCCAATGGCGGATTGCACGGCCAAGATGTTCCAAAGATGGAAGAAACAGGGAACTGATCAAGTGTCGAAGATCGAGATGAGCAGTGAGTTCCAGAGATTAACGGCCGACATCATAGCGACTGCTGCGTTTGGAAGCAGTTATGCTGAAGGCATCGAAGCTTTCAGATCACAGAGAGAGCTTCAGAAGTGTTGCGTCGTTTCTCTCTCCAAAGCGTTTGTCCCCGGATTCCAGTAATTAAACTGATCACACCCCCTCTTTGCTATTTAAACATTGGTTTAATTTGGATGATATTACAATCTGGCTTGTCTCTTGTTTTGTTTTGTAAGGTACCTTCCGACCGCTTTGAATCTTCAAATGTGGAAGCTTGACAGGAAAGTGAAGAACTCTCTCAAGAAAATTATAGATACGAAACTCAACTCCAACTCTGGATATGGAGAGGATCTTTTGGGTCTGATGTTGACTGCCACCAAAGCTGACGGATCTGATAAGAAGGGGCTGAAGATGAGCATGGATGAGATCATGGAAGAATGAAAGACCTTCTTTTTCGCAGGCCATGAAACGACATCAAACTTATTGACCTGGACGGCGATGCTGTTGAGCGTTCACCAAGACTGGCAGGAGAAGCTCAGAGACGAGGTTTGGAAGGAATGCGGCGAAACCCGGATCCCGGATGCAGACATATTGCCCAGATTCAAACTGGTAATTTGTAAATCGGTTTCGAGGTCATTGATTTGACATCTGATTTACTTGAAAAAACTGTCAATGGTTTCTTGCAGATGAAGAAAATTATTTATAAACTTAACTTGCATATGAAGAAATCTGTTTATAACTTGACTTAAACTTGCAAATGAACATGGTGTTAATGGAGACTCTGAGGTTGTACTGTCCCGTTATATTTATGGCCCGAAAGACTACTGAGGACATGAAGTTGGGACACTTGAACATACCCAAAGGCACGACCCTAACGCTACCGCTTGCTAAGATGCACCGCGATAAGGAGCTTTGGGGAGACGACGCCAACGAGTTCAGACCGCTGCGTTTTGAAAACGGCGTTTCAAGAGCCGCTAAACACCCAAACGCGCTCATGGCGTTCTCGGTGGGACCCAGAGCCTGCATAAGTCAGAACTTTGCCATGATCGAAGCCAAGACGGTCCTCGCCATGATTCTGCAGCGTTTCAGGTTCTCTCTCGCCGGAGAGTATAAGCACGCGCCGGCTGATTTTATCACTCTCCAGCCACAGTTTGGCCTTCCCGTAATGCTTCAGCCTCTCTGAAACTTAGGGTGACATATATTTACGCAAAAAAAAAGAAACAAATCTTTCTTGCCCTCTTAGGTTTTTGTTTCAAAGATGTGAACTTCGTTTATATAATGCGCTTTTAAGTAATCTTGATTATTCACTTTCATATAGTTTCATGCATTCACGAATCAAGTCTTGCATGTAATATCTAAATTTGGATAGTTCAATCGGTAATACTGAAGCGCAAAATGTTTGTCTGATCCGAATTCGAATCTCAAATTTGGAGAAAAAAACATATATTCCAAATCATTTAACTGATTCTCGACCCAATATATATTCCAAATCATTTAACTGATTCTCCCGATCTTGGTCCAAGATACCTATTATCCTTCTTGCGTATATTGTCTCACTTAAAAATAAAATCTTACAGTCAACTCACGTTGGTGAGCCAGGCCCATTTCCATGGGTCCATACTAGTGCAATGGATGGTGTATCTAACAAGGCGACACGTGTCAAGATCTCAGGCACAGGTGTTCTCTGGTCAAAACAGAGCGAAAGAATCTTAGGTGTTAAGGGGAAGTAACGCTCTCATTGGTCCGCTGACCGTACTTTGTTCTGCAATTCCTTTTTATTATATATTTGTCGTGTTGATACAGTAAAAGACTGTTTTAGTAACGAGTAAAGGCAGATATTTTCGACAAATGAATTTTTATATTTTTTCTACGCGTGTACAGATGAACTTTAATATAAGTAATATATATGTGTGCGTGTGTGTGTTTTATGAGATAGCGAATAAAAATTAAATTTAACCCTATGAGAACGATAAACTATTTTCTCCTACATAAAATCAAATGTTAATTAATTATCCTTAATATATATATATATATATATTGATAAGTAGACCAAATTTTATATATTAGACATCTTCATAATCGTGATCCATCTATATGCAAATGCATCTACTATCTAGTCTGGTTTAATAAGGTAGACGAGAGTCAATATTGATATTTTCAAATTTAAAATTGGATGGTTCAACTGATAAGGAAGATAAAAAAACTTATTTTCAATTTAGGTTCAAATCATCACTTGAAGAGTGACATTCATATGATTTTTTCGGTCTTTTAAAAAATATTAATCGGATTAAAAAGTTCGGTAAAATTTTGAATTATAAAAAATATATATTAAGGTTTCCAAATTCGTGTCATACTTGCATTGTATGGATGTATAATATAGTTATAGCCCGTTTCCCTTGTTCTCTTATGCAGACCGGGAAATCTCCACACGTGACACTCGTTGATGGATGATTTGATGGAGAGTGTTTGAACATGCCCCACGCACACGCACAAGGAGACTGCTAGCGTCCAAACTTTTTTTTTTAATTCAAAAATTTACCGGACCTTCGATCCGACTGCATCTCCCAGAAAATCAGGAGAGTCCATGTGAATATCCTTCTCCAACCTCAGAAATCGAACAGCCGACATGAAGATACATTGGCCAACACGCCAACCACTCGTCGACGCTAGGTTGGGTCCAGCGTCCAAACCTGCTGCTGTTCATGTGCATTAGTGATATTTCATTACAATCAATGGATATAAATTATAAAACCAATACAACCTAAGCCAAAGATGACGACTAAGAAGTTACTACTGCTCATTAATTACGCGCGAAAACCGCGTCAAGTACACGTGTCACCGTTATAGCCGATGCTGAGAGAGAACAACCTTGGATCTTTAACATCCCATTTATTCTAGACTCAAGATGACACGTGTTATATATTTTACGTCACCACACCATAAACAAAATAATAATTTATTAACACAGTGGAATGGAAGTTTGCAATAAACGATCGAACTTGTCAGGGGCAAAAACGTAAATGCAGCAAAACCCGGGACTCGGTGTGACTCGCAATAAATTCGGTCGTCTGAGTGAGGCTCGAGTTTACTTTTTCACTCACCTTTAATTGAGGAAGGAAAGAAACAGCATATAAAAAAAAAAAATCGAAAGGCTCTGCAAGCGCGTCTCTTCACTTTCATCTTCTTCCTCCTCTCTCTCGCGTGGCTTCGGACGAGAGCCTGAAGATGGCTTCTTCGTCTATCTTAGACGTCCACTATGAAGTTACGGACGATGGGCTGCAATACCAGACGCGGCACAGCAACTTGTCGAGGCTGTCTGTCTGCACAAGCTCCCTCCACGACGAAGAAGACGATGTGGCGAACAATGCATCGGAGGTAGGTATATTCATGTCGGGTTTGTCCCTGGAGAGTTTCGACGGAGCCGACGCCGACGAGGAAGTCTCCGATGTGGACAAAGGACGAGGAAAAGAGCAGGGTGGGTCGTCGGATTCCGATAAAGAACCCGGATTTTACTCGTTACCATCGAGGTCGTCTCGCCGGAGAAGAAAACTTCCGGTGGCAGATGGATCGGTGGAGAAAATGAGCGAGAACGAGAGGAAGAAGGATGAGAGAAAAAAGGGTAATATCAGGAGGCAGAGGAGGGAAAGAAGGCCGCCATGGATGGTAAAGGAAAGGGCAGATGAGAACATGAACAGTGAAGTCGGAGTGGGAGGGAGCTTCACGGTGATAACGAGGGCTAGGGGAGGGAAGAAGTCGATGAGGATGGGGTTGGAGGAAGTGAAGGCGTGTAAGGATCTAGGGTTCGAGCTGGATCATGAGTGCACGGCAGTGGAGGTGGTTCCGGGTCGGGTCTCGGTGTCGGGCGGGTCGACCTTCGACACTCAGACCAGTAGCGGTGGCAACTCTCCCGTCGCCAGCTGGCGTATCTCCGGTCCCGGTACGTAGTATACATCCCATTTTTTTCAAATTTTATTTAAAATCATATCCATTTTTATTAATTTGGATGTGAATTCTGTATTAGGAGAGGATCCGAGGGAGGTTAAGGCGAGGCTGAAGATGTGGGCGCAAGCCGTGGCTTTTGCTTCTGCCTCACGTTATGCGTCTTAATAATCTTATTTCCTTTTTTTTTTTTTTGGAACTTACATGTTAGAAACCTATCTATATTCCAAAGTTTTGTAATTTTCGTTTTGGTTTGCGTTTGTAAATACGAAAGAAATAGTGATGGATTACAGCTTTTCATTTCGCTGTGGTGCTTAATATATAATCATTGTGATCGTGGAGCGTCTTCATATAGACTATAGAGTATGCTTTTTATGTATCCAAGAAGCCGAGAATAAAATTATATAAAGAAAGGGGAAAGTGAACCCCACACGTATGGAAAGGTCGAAGCTTTCATTAAAAGGAGAGATCGGTTTGGGATTCGAAGCCCCACGCGGACGTGGTCACTCCCGAATTATGGAATCTGATGCTACCTAATACTAATCTTTTACCCCCCCCCCCCTTTCCC